GGGGGGCCAGCTGGGCCCGTGGCGTGCGCCCCGACCCGAGGCCCCGGCGCCTCGGTCCTCTCTCGAGCGGGGCGTCCTCGAGGTGGGAGGCTCGAGGCTCGAGGCTCGAGGCTCGGGGCTCGAGGTCCTCCTCCTCCTCCGCCCCTCCTCCTCCTCCTCCTCCTCCTCCTCCACCCTCCTCCTCCTCCTACTCCTCCTCGTCCTCCTGCTCCTCCTCCTCCTCCTCCTCCTCCTCCTCCTCCTCCTCCTCCCGCTCGTTCGAGGCTCGAGGCGCGAAGGTGGAGGATCTGGGATGGCGCTCTCGAGGGTTCAAGGATTCGAGAGTCGAGGTTCCAGGTTCGACGTCGGAGGATCGACGGCCGGCCGTCGAGGAGTCGAGGATCGAGGAGCCGAGGATCGAGGATCGAGGCTCGACGGGATGGCAACAGTGCGACGCCAGGGTTTCCAGGCTTACCTCTAGTCTCGCCTGAGTTCTTGGCAGCTCGATGTTTTCGAGCCTGGCGTCTTTGCACGGTTTCGGGCCCCGGGACCCTCATGGATCGATCCGGCTCGAAACAACGGTCTGGTGTTCTGGGCGTGTTTTTTCGCGATGTTGTTTTGCTGCTGCGTCGGATCTTTGGGGGGTTAATGAAATTGGGTGGGGTACCCTGGGGGTTCGCGCAGGCCCGCGGCAAGTGCAATAACATCTGGAAGGGCGCAGTGTTTGCCTTTGTTGCAGACAATGATCGTCTTCTGATTCATTGTTTTGCCGATCGTCGGCGCGGGCCCTCGCACCCCCCTCCTATGGAGTGGTCACGCAGGTGGAGGCTACCCCAGGGGACGCAGTGCTGCAACCAATCCCATTAAGCAGAGGTCCGGAGCAAGACCCCCCCCTCCACCCTTCCGCCCAAAGTCGAAACGCCAAATACGAAAACGCTCACCAAGGGGTAGTGAGGGGCCGTCGATTCCAGTAGGTCGGGATCACGGACGAGAACCTGGCGTACTGGCAGCTCACGGCCAACCCCAGCGAGCTCGAGGAGGCGTCGCAGCTGCGGCCGAGCCAGCGACTCGCTGTGCGGCACATCAGGAACCTGGCGAAAACACAGCGCGTTGCGACACGGTGCGGTGGACCCCAAGCAGTAGACCCCAAACCCAGCGCGGACCCCAAGCGGTGCGTTGTTGCACGGTGGAGGGGAACGCCATGATGTGTCAGCTGCGGGGTGACAGCTGTGCCGTTTGAGCTACGTGGTGTGATCCGTGGAAGTGGACGCCAGGCGGTGCAAGCTGTGTGGTGTAAGCTATGTCGTGCAAGCCGGGTGGTATGAGCTGGAGGTGAAAGTTATGCAGCGTCAGCTATTTGATGTAGCCTATGCATAATGTGTATATATATATAGATAGCATTGGGGTTCTCATGCGATGTATCTCCCCTGGCGCGTCCCTTGGCACGTGCATCCCGTTGCCGCCTTGGCAAAAAGGGGTTCCTGGGGGGGTACTCGTTACAACCCCCCCAGGGCCGCGGCCCAGGCCTTCCCCCCCGTGGCGCGGGATGGCCGCTCGCTGAGCTGGGCCTGGGCTCTCGGCAGCTCCGCCGCGGGCGTGCCGCTGCCGCGTCAGCCCGCCCTCGTGATGGTGTGCGGCAGGCGGCGTCGGGCAAGGGTGGCGCAGGCGGCAGCGGCGCGCTGGTGGGGCCCGCGGGCGGCCTCCTGGGCGTTGGCGCTGGCGGGGGCGCGGGCAGCCCTGCCCCCTGGCGTAGGCGGGATGCTGCCCCCGCCTCAGCCGCCCCTCGCCAGGGCCGCGGCGGCCGCGGGCGCTGGAGGCGCTGGAGGCGCCGCAGGCCCTGCAGGAGCTGGCGGCGCGCGGGCTGCCGAGCCGGCGATGGGGGGCATGGGCAAGTTCGCCCCTGCGTGCGGCGCCGCTCCGAGAGGGCCTGCTGGCGCAGCGGCTGGGAGAGGAGCCGCCCGCGGCAAGGCGCGAGGTGCTCCTGCAGCCGAGGCGGGGGCTGCAGTTGCCGCAGGAGGAGCGGCGGGCGTGGCCCCTGGGCTGCCTGGAGTCGGCGCGCTCGGAGGTCCTCCTGGTGCCGCTGGCGGGGGAGCCTCACCTCCTGCTGGCGCGCCGCCGCCAGCCCCCCCATCGCGGGCGGTCCCGCAGGCGGCTGGGGCGCGCCGCCGCGGGGTGCCGCGGGCGGAGCTCAGCAGCTGGACCTGGCCGGAGGCTGCCCCTGCTGGGCGGCTGGAGGCGTGCTTGGGATGCCCGATGGCCTGCCTCCGTGCGGCGAACCATTCGGGATGCCCGCGGTGGCGGTGCCCGCGGGCTGGGAGGAGGTCCTGGGCTTTGGATCTACCCCCCGCTGGCCCCCTGCGCGGTGCAGCAGCTGCAGCAGCTGCAGCTCCACCCTGGAGCGGTGCTGGAGATCGTCATGTGCGACTCGTGGGGCCAGCCTAGCGAGACCGCGGAGCCCCGCATGTTAGGAGCCTGGCCCGCGGACGGTGCAGGTCAGTTCGTGGAGGCGACGGTGGAGGCCTGCAGCCAGGCGTTCTTCTTGCCCGTGCTGCAGGGGCTCTTCGCCATGGGCGCGTCGGTCCCGCACTTGTGCGCGCAGGCGGTTGAGACCCGCCACCTTGCTACCAAGTGGGCCATCAGGAGCGTAGTGCACACGGACATGATGAGAATGAAGGCTGCCACTGGTGCGGGGTTGGGCGTCCCGGCTGCTGCTGCCCTGGCCGACGGTGCGGCCGCTGGAGGCGGTGCCAGGGGAGCCCCTGCTGGTGACGAGGGCGCCGCAGCTGGCACGGGCCCCGCAGGAGGCGTCGCTGGCGGTCCAGCTGCTGCCGATGGAGCTGACGGTGGAGGCGGCGGCGCGCAGACTGAGGAGCAGCTCAGGAGGACGATCCAGGGGTTGCGAGAGCGGCTCAGGCGCAAGAGCCCCATGACGGAGTCGCTCGCCGAGAGAATTGACGCTGCGCTGGAGGGCCTACATAGTCGCCGCCGCGGGGGCCAGAATCGCGACCCCGACGACTCCGACGAATCACTTTTTGACGAGGCCCTACCCGCTGATTCCAGCCGCCGAGTACACTGCCTAGCACGGTCCGGTCCAGGAGAGCTGATGGCAGCGGATCTGAAGCAGATTCGAGAATACTTGGCACAGCGGGGCGGGGTCGCCGACTGCAGCGAGCTGGACAGCCAGAGTGCAAACGTGGTGCAGTACGACACATGCGCATGGCACGGAGCCCATCCTCAGAGCGAGACGAGCGTTCGCCACGTGCACGAGATGAAGATGATAGGCGAGTGCCAGGACACCCTCACTTGTGAAGAGCTCCCGCGCTTGGGCGACGCGCTAATGCAGAGGCTGAGCGCCAGCGAGCAGGCAACCAAGGACGGGTGCTGGCAGGCGGCGCAGCACCTCGAGATGGTGGACTCCACGGGCGTCGGGCTGGCCTCGCAGGTAGAGCTGGCGTCGACCGTGGCAAACTGCTCGGAGGGCGCCAAACTGGATGAGCGCCTCGGCGAGGCCTGAAGCTCAGGAAGCGAACGAGGTGCCGAAGCCGACGGCGTCGCAGCGGGAGGCTCGCTGACGCGAGGGCAGAGGTCGCGGCCGAGGCGCAGCAGGGCGAAGGGCGGGAGCGCCGCCTGCCGCGCCCGAGAGAGCCGAGGAGCCGCGCGCCTCGAGTCGGGCTGCAGAGGCGCGCGCCCCGAGCCACGGGGGAGCGCCGCCCCCGCCGCAGCGTGCTCGGACGCCATCGCCGCCCCCCCTGGCGAGGGCCGCGGCTCGCGGCTCGAGCCCTGGGCCGCCGCGTAGGTCCAGCCCGCGCCCGGGGCCGGGTGCCGTGAGCCCGCCGCGCCGCGTGGCGTTCGCCGGGCCCTTGGAGGAGCGCAGCCCGGTCAGGCGGGGCCCGCCAGGATCGCTGCGCCCCTGGCCCCGCGACAAGGGCGCCCAGCCCGTCCGGGCCAAGGGCCGTGGCAAGGGCCCAAGCAGGTGCAAGTGCATGAGCGGCCGAAAGAACAAGCAGCATCGTGCATGACAGAGGAGGTGGGGCGTGGCGACCGCGCCGACTCCTCTGAGGTCAGCTGGGAGACCGAAATCGCTGGCCCGTCAGCTTCTGACGAGGTGGATTGCAAAGAGGCTTGTGACTATGCCTTCTCGGACGGCGAGCTGCCAGTAATTCGCTCTTGTCCACGCCTTGATGACTTTCGAGGTGCGCGTGTGTTCCAGCGGATGCGCTGCGCGGGTTATCGTTGCGAAGTTGGACGCTGTATGATGCATCTTGGGGCTGACGTACCGCGTCATGATTCTTTCCAGGCGGGGCCTCTGGCTTCTGATTGCGAATGCCCGCGAGGTGACAATACATTTCATGATTTACTTCAGGCGAGGCCGCTGGCCTCAGATCACGGACCTTCTACTGAGTGGCGGTCGGCTTATCCTTTGCCGCTGTCCGCAGGGAGCGGTCGTCGCGACTTGATGCCGCTGCCGTGCGCTCTCGTTCAGGTCTGTGACTTGAAGCTGGAGTTCGACCAGGGCCGCGTCGTGGACATGGTGGCGTTGGTGGTGGAGGGCGACATGAACGGTGGGCTATACTTGGCAGTGCAGACGCTGGACTTCCCGTCCCGCTTGGGAGACGAGCACATGTTGCTGAGGGATGACAGCGCCCGCCGCCTCTTCGTCCCCGCTTGCTTGGTGCAGGTGAAGGCTCGACGGCATCTGGCGCGGAGCGGGTGTACTTTCCTAGAGCAGTGCAGCGACGAGGTGCCGAACCTTGAGTGGAAGTCGGAGCTCAAGTCGTCGGCGGTCGTTTACGCGGGCGAGGAGGTGTACCCCGCCGAGAAGCTCGACAGAGAGCGCCTGATGATCGCCCTGCCGCCGGACCACGCCAACGGGTCGGTGCTGGCCTCGGAGGTGAGCGACGGCTGGATCCGAGGTGTGCTGGAGAACCCCGAGTGGATCCTCAGGAGCCCTGATGAGCTGGACGAGATGCCGAAGACCCTCCGCGGCTGGGCGGAGGGCGCCGACTGGGAGCTCATCGCCGCCGTGCTGGTGGACCGCAGGATCTTGGGGCCCACTGAGGAGGAGTGCACCGTGCAGGTGAGAGGGCGTCGTGTGCTGGGCGGCCTCTTCGGAGTCCGCAAGTCGGGGCGCGGCGTGGGCCTGGGTCCGCAGCGCCTCGTGATGATCATCATCCTTGGCAACTGGTTGCAGGGGGCCATCGAGGGCGACGCGGGCCTCGTGACGTCCACGGCCAAGTGGAAGAGCATCTTCCAGAGCAGTGGCGCAGTGCTCCTGCCCTCGTCGGAGGAACTGAGGTGGCGTTTTTTACGTGTACCCCTTGTCTGAGGTCTGGCACAAGCACGTGGCGCTGTCCAAGTCTGTTCGCCGTGATGTACTGGGCTTGGTTATGGGTGGCAACGTATTCGCGGCGGCGGCGGTGATCCCCATGGGCTGGATCTGGGGGGCGGGGTTCAGCCAGCACATCCGCAGGAGGCTCGTGCGTGAGTGGGTCCCGGGTGTCGAGCCGCTGCCGGTGGAGCAGGAGTTGCGACGCGATCTACCTCTTCCTCTTCATCGCGGGCTGGGCGCGGTGCCCTCAGCCTCGGGGCAGGCCTCGCCGGCGATGCCCTTGGCCTCGGAGAGGGATTCAGTGTGAGGACAGGCTGGCCGCAGCTACGACGACGAGTGCGTCCCCATCTGCATTGGGCGCCCAGGGCAGAAGCACGGCTACGCCCCTTCCAAGTGGGCGAACCCCTTCAAGGTAGTGCGGGGCTTGTTCAGGACCTCGGCCGTCCTGCGCTTCGACACCCACCTAGGAGAGGCTCCTCACCTACTCAATGACATCGGTGAGCTGACGGGTTGCCGTCTTGTGTGCCTCTGCAGGCCAGGTCAGATATGCTAGTGCGATGTGCTGTTCAAGGTTTGGAGGATAGAGGTGAGGCCTGCTGGGAGTGCGCCGTGTGCTACCTCTGCATGCTCTTCTACTTGGGTTGCTTGGCAGGTGTACATCGGCATCCTCGACCTCCTGTATATAGCCGATGAAGTGGCGCTGACAGCCCGTGAGCCTCGTTTCGAAGAGCCAGGCCTGCGGCGAGTTCGTGGACGGCGAGCTGGGCATGATCAGCCCCCCCCCCCCCCCCCCCCCCCAAAGGACTTCACTTGCGCGCTGGTGAGCCCCAGCCACTGCACGCTGGACCGCGAGAAGGTGGCGCAGAGGTGGTTGCTGGGGCTGGCAGGCCGCTGGGTGCGAGCTATGGTGTTCCGCCGGGGGGCGACGTCCGCCTTTGATCATGTGTGGCGGGCCGTTTTGCGCTGGAGAGGTGAGCGGCGCCTGCCTGGCTGCGTCTTCAGGGAGATTGTGATCGCGCTGGGCCTCCTACCACTCATGAGGCGTGACCTGCGGGCCCCCTCGGCGGCGTGGCGACGGTGTCGGGTGCCAGTGCGCAGGGGGGGGGGGGGGGGGGGGGGGGGCGCGCGCAGAGCTGCGCGACCCCTTCCTCATGGGCTCGCGGCCGCGAGAGCAGCTCGGGCTTGGCGCGGTGGCAGACGGCAGGATAAAGGCGTGCTGATCTCTCTGTTCGACGGCGTAGGTGGGATCAGGCGAGCTCTTGACATGCTGGGCTTGATCGTCTCGGTGCACGCCGCATTCGAGACCGATGCGGAGGCGAGCCGTGTGGCGCGGCATGCTCGGCCGGAGAAGGGCGCGAGGGGGATCCGAGATCGCGCTCCGCTCGCGCGTTGGGCCGCCCTCAGCGCGGGGGGCCCCCGCGCCGACCTGGCCCGCCTCGGCGTGGACAGGCGCGGGCGGCAGGGCAGGCGGTCTGGCCTCTTCTTCGTGATCTTGCGGGCGCAGGCCTTGATTCGTCCGGCTTTTCCTGAGGTGGTGCAGCTGTTCAACCTAATCGAGAACGTGTCTTCCCTGGAGGCCGAGGACCGGCAAGCTATGTCGCGGGCGCTGGGGCTGCCGCCGGCGGTCGTCGAGGCGGCCGACATCTCGCCCGCTCGGCGAGAGAAGCAGTGCTGGTGGGACTGGGGCCCGTTGACCCAGTTGCAGGGCGTCGTTGACGAGTTGCAGGATGTTAAGAGGGTCGTGATCTCAGTTGGTGCGGGCGACTTCAAGCGATTGCTTCGTGAAGGTCGTCGCTGGTGTGATGCAGGCTGCGAGAAGCAGGGGCTGCCGACCTTCGCCAGCTGCGCCCCGAGGGCGCGCGCTGGGTCCAAGCCCAAGGGTCTGCATCAGTGCTCGCATTGGGAGTTGGCGCGGTGGCGCACTCACGAGTACTACTCTGCCCCAGGCCAGCTCCGAGCTGCTCATTGCGTGCGCTGGAATGACGGCGACCTGGAGCCGGCGGATTCCTTCGAGCAGGAGATGCTGATGGACTTCCCCCATGGTCGCGCGGCGGCGGCCATGGCAATTCGGTTCCGCAAGACCCGCGAGCTGGAAGTGGTCCGTTGCGGGTTGCTAGGCGACTCTTTACAGTGTGCAGTGGTGGCTAGGATCTCAGGGCACTGGGCGCGCTGCAAGAATTGCCTTGACGACGCCCCGAGCGTTGAGCAGCTGCGGCAGCAGGGTGGTGGCTTCGACGCATCCGAGGGCGTGGTGAGGATGGCGGCCATCTATAACAAGGATGTGCTGGTTAGCCACGAGATTCGTTGTGGCTGCGAAGCCCAGCAGGACATGCGTGCAGATGGTCGAGGAGATTGTCAGACGCGCTGAAGTTCGAGGCTCAGGCCTTCGTCTGCATTCGTTGGAGGTGATGCTCCCCGACTTGTGGCCTCGGAATCCTATCAGCGTGGCGCGCTGGGCATGGAAGACGGTTCTGGTCTTGCGCTGGAGATGGAAGATCCACATCACGGCACTGGCACTTCTTCATGCGCTGGCTGCTCTACGTTGGAGGTTCCGTGTGTGCCGTTATCCGTATGCGAGGTCTGCCCATTTCATGGTGTCACAAGTGGGCTCTGGTGTGATGCCAAGAGGTGGCTCTTATTCCCATGTGCTCAATGCTGCTGTCAGAAAACCTTGGCCTTGGTTCTGGTAGCTTCAGCGCGACCAATCTACGGGTACACCGAGACCGACAATAATCTTGACGACGACTCCTCCACGGGAGGCGGCATCACCGTGGCCGATCATGCCCATGACGCGTCGGAGGTGCATTGCCCACGCACAGGATTTGGTGGCCCGTGTTTGGGCGCGCGGAGCGATTGGGAAGCTATCGCGCACCGTGGCACAACCCCGTACCTTGCGGCAATATTACAGGATGGTTCTGGTATCACGTCTTGGATGGAGTCTCATAATGCGCCGGTGAAAGTCTGACGTTGAACAACGTGACCATCGACTTTGTGAATGGATTGAGGCGTTGTGGGCCGCTGGTAGGCCAGCGGGTGATGCAGGTTCTACCGTTTCAGGTGTGCAGTTCGTCTTGCGGCGCGAACGTATTCTGCGTAGTTCTTGGAATCGTCGCAAAGCTGCTGCCCAACGTGCCGCGCCGACGCCAGAATCCGTTCTGTTGGCTTTGACGAGTGTGGCGCGCTCGCGGTCTCACAATGTCGCGGCACTGCTCTTGGTGGTGGGATACGCGGCTCTCCTTCATATGATGGAGCTGCTACGCCTGCGCCGATGGCGGCTTCAATTTGCCAATGATGGGCTCCGCATGGTGATTGCGATGCCAGTGGCGAGGTCTGGAGTTCGTCGTCACTGCGAGAACCGATGGCGCTCCACGGCCCGCGCTTGGTCAGGTTCGCGCGGCGCTTCCTCGACAGGTTGCCGCGCGGCGCGCTGTCCTGAGATCCTCGGTGAAGGACGTCAGGCGGGTCTTCAGAAGCTCGTCTCCAGCCTCGAGCTCGAGCGCCACCAGGACGTGCCGTGCTCGCTGCGGCGCGGTGGCGCGACGTTGCACTACCGGCGCTTCAACAACACGCGCCGCGCGTTCATCATGGGCTTGTGGCAGGACGCAGAGGAGGTGGGGCTCTACATCTCTGGCGGGCTGCAGAGCGTGCTGCAGAACGCGCGCGGCCCGGTGGAGCTGGATCGCTTCCGCCGCCTGGCGGCGGCCCTCGATCATGATCTGTTTTGAAAAGGGAGAGACAGAGAGATCAAAGCAGATAGCGCTGCCATAATTCACAGCTTCGCTGTCAGCATTTTCCCGACCCCCCCCCCTCCTTAGGGTTGGAGACGGTCAACCAGAGTGGGGTGCATGGAAGTGGGGGAGGCTCCGTTGTGGAGGGTTCGGACTCGTGATCGCGCTGCCGCTCCCTTTAAAGGGTTCGGACTCGTGTTCGCGCTGCCGCCCTCTCCTCAGGGGTTCGGTCTCGTGTTCGCGCTGCCGCTTCTGGGGTCCATCCCGGGGGTTCGGACTCGCGTTCGCGCTGCCGCCCTTACTTGGCGCGGGGCCCCTCGGGGTCGGGCGGTGTTTGCGCTGGCATCCCCCCCTTGCGCGCAAGACTCTGGCATGGGATGATACGTAAAAAGAGATGGGACGAGTAGACAGGTCGGAGATACATATCATTGAGTTTCTCATGCGATTTACCTCCCTTGGCGCGTCCCTTGGCACGTCCATCCCGTTGCCGCCTCCCCCGCAGCCGCTTTGGGCCCCTCCCGTCCCTTCCCTGCCAAACTCGGAAGGGGGGCGGCTCCGTTGTGGAGGGTTCGGACTCGTGATCGCGCTGCCGCTCCCTTTAAAGGGTTCGGACTCGTGTTCGCGCTGCCGCCCTCTCCTCAAGGGTTCGGTCTCGTGTTCGCGCTGCCGCTCCTGGGGTCCACTCCGGGGGTTCGGACTCGTGTTCGCGCTGCCGCCCTTACTTGGCGCGGGGTCCCTCGGGGTCGGGGGGTCTTGCGCTGGCAGCCCCCCCTTGCGCGCAAGACTCTGGTACGGGATGATGCGTAAAAAGAGGTGGGACGAGGAGACGATGGGACGTGGAAACAAGTAGGATAGATCTATATATATATATATATATATGTATATCGATTTGTGTGTGTGTTGTGTAAGCTGTGCGGTGTAAGCTATGGGGGGGCTATGTGGTGTAAGCTATGTGGTGTAAGCTATGTGGTGTAAGCTATGTCTTGCGCTGGAGATGGAAGATCCACATCGCGGCACTGGCACTTCTTCATGCGCTGGCTGCTCTACGTTGGAGGTTCCGTGTGTGCCGTTATCCGTGTGCGAGGTCTGCCCATTTCATGGTGTCACAAGTGGGCTCTGGTGTGATGCCAAGAGGTGGCTCTTATTCCCATGTGCTCAATGCTGCTGTCAGAAAACCTTGGCCTTGGTTCTGGTAGCTTCAGCGCGACCAATCTACGGGTACACCGAGACCGACAATAATCTTGACGACGACTCTTCCACGGGAGGCGGCATCACCGTGGCCGATCATGCCCATGACGCGTCGGAGGTGCACTGCCCACGCACAGGATTTGGTGGCCCGTGTTTGGGCGCGCGGAGCGATTGGGAAGCTATCGCGCACCTTGGCACAACCCCGTACCTTGCGGCAATATTACAGGATGGTTCTGGTTTCACGTCTTGGGTGGAGTCTCATTATGCGCCGGTGAAAGTCTGACGTTGAACAACGTGACCATCGACTTTGTGAATGGATTGAGGCGTTGTGGGCCGCTGGTAGGCCAGCGGGTGATGCAGGTTCTACCGTTTCATGTGTGCAGTTCGTCTTGCGGCGCGAACGTATTCTGCGTAGTTCTTGGAATCGTCGCAAAGCTGCTGCCCAACGTGCCGCGCCGACGCCAGAATCTGTTCTGTTGGCTTTGACGAGTGTGGCGCGCTCGCGGTCTCACAATGTCGCGGCACTGCTCTTGGTGGTGGGATGCGCGGCTCTCCTTCATATGATGGAGCTGCTACGCCTGCGCCGATGGCGGCTTCAATTTGCCAATGATGGGCTCCGCATGGCGATTGCGATGCCAGTGGCGAGGTCGGGAGTTCGTCGTCACTGCGAGAACCGATGGCGCTCCACGGCCCGCGCTTGGTCAGGTTCGCGCGGCGCTTCCTCGACAGGTTGCCGCGCGGCGCGCTGTCCTGAGATCCTCGGTGAAGGACGTCAGGCGGGTCTTCAGAAACTCGTCTCCAGCCTCGAGCTCGAGCGCCGCCAGGACGTGCCGTGCTCGCTGCGGCGCGGTGGCGCGACGTTGCACTACCGGCGCTTCAACAACACGCGCCGCGCGTTCATCATGGGCTTGTGGCAGGACGCAAAGGAGGTGGGGCTCTACATCTCTGGCGGGCTGCAGAGCGTGCTGCAGAACGCGCGCGGCCCGGTGGAGCTGGATCGCTTCCGCCGCCTGGCGGCGGCCCTCGATCATGATCTGTTTTGAAAAGGGAGAGACAGAGAGATCAAAGCAGGTAGCGCTGCCATAATTCACAGCTTCGCTGTCAGCATTTTCCCGACCCCCCCCCTCCTTAGGGTTGGAGACGGTCAACCAGAGTGGGGTGCATGGAAGTGGGGGAGGCTCCGTTGTGAAGGTTCGGACTCGTGATCGCGCTGCCGCTCCCTTTTAAAGGGTTCGGACTCGTGTTCGCGCTGCCGCCCTCTCCTCAGGGGTTCGGTCTCGTGTTCGCGCTGCCGCTTCTGGGGTCCATTCCTGGGGTTCGGACTCGCGTTCGCGCTGCCGCCCTTACTTGGCGCGGGGCCCCTCGGGGTCGGGCGGTGTTTGCGCTGGCATCCCCCCCTTGCGCGCAAGACTCTGGCATGGGATGATACGTAAAAAGAGATGGGACGAGTAGACAGGTCGGAGATACATATCATTGAGTTTCTCATGCGATTTACCTCCCTTGGCGCGTCCCTTGGCACGTCCATCCCGTTGCCGCCTCCCCCGCAGCCGCTTTGGGCCCCTCCCGTCCCTTCCCTGCCAAACTCGGAAGGGGGGCGGCTCCGTTGTGGAGGGTTCGGACTCGTGATCGCGCTGCCGCTCCCTTTAAAGGGTTCGGACTCGTGTTCGCGCTGCCGCCCTCTCCTCAAGGGTTCGGTCTCGTGTTCGCGCTGCCGCTCCTGGGGTCCATTCCGGGGGTTCGGACTCGTGTTCGCGCTGCCGCCCTTACTTGGCGCGGGGTCCCTCGGGGTCGGGGGGTCTTGCGCTGGCAGCCCCCCCTTGCGCGCAAGACTCTGGTACGGGATGATACGTAAAAAGAGGTGGGACGAGGAGACGATGGGACGAGGAAACATGTAGGATATATATATATATATATATATATATATATAGATATATATATATATATATATGTATATGTATATATATATGTATATAGATTTGTGTGTATGTGTTGTGTAAGCTATGTGGTGTAAGCTATGGGGGGCGCCCACGAAACACCCGCGAGGCTGCCCTGGCGGCAACGTGGTTCAACTTCGGCGTACCCCCGAAGCGCGGGAGCGCCCACGAGTAGCCCACGAGGCGTCACGGGTGGCTACGTGGCGCAAACTCGGCATCCCCCCCGAATCGCAGGGTGTTCAAAATGTGCTTACGAGGCGGCACGGGCCCGCAACGCGGCGAAAACACGACATATCCGACCAGTCTCTTGACGAAAAACAGTAAGAGCCCCTAAGTGCGAGCACTGGTTGGGGACTGGTTGGTTGGGGACTGGCTGGTGCGAGCACCATTTCACCGAACTTACAATACCAAGAAGTATGTCTGTCTGTCTGTCTGTCTGTCTGTCTGTCTGTCTGTCTGTCTGTCTGTCTGTCTGTCTGTGTGTCTGTCTATCTGTATGTATGTATGTATGTATGTATGTGTGTGTGTGTATGTATGTATGTATGTATGTATGTATGTATGTATGGTAGGTTCGCGTAGTGTCGACCGGCGGCGACTCCGCCTCCAGCGTTCAACCTTGAACGCCGCCTGCGACCCATAACCGGTCTAGTTTGAACGATCGGACCTTCCAAAAATCGCCGATTGCTCAAGGTGGAACGATTCCCGCGGTGTCAGCGACCAATGCCGAAGTCGGCACGACACGAACCCACCGCATACATACATATACACACATATATATATATATATATATATATATATATATATATATACATACGTATATTATACACACATACACGCTCGAACACCAGGAACCTGGCGAGGGAGAGCCACGCCAAGGCCCTGCCCGAGCTGAAGAACAGGGTGACCAGACTTGGCTTCACGGAGGTGGACGTGAATCACCGAACGCGTGTCACTTCTCGTAAAGTGCCTACTCGCAACCGCTCAAAGAACACACGCTCGCCTCGATATGATGGATCGTAGATCCCCGCGGCGGATCCAAGCCATTTGTGAGCAGTTACATCGCGAGTAGTGCAGCGCGCTTGTCTAGGCAAGGCGTCGGGCTACAGTCGTGGCGCTGAAGAAGGAACCCTGGGGAGGGGCTCGGTGTTCCTTAAGTGCTTTACAGTTTGCCCTGGGTCTTCCGCAGGCTTTCCATGGGAAGTCGAAGTTTAACTTATGGGAAAAAGGGGGCGTCGTTCCTTACTTGGGGTTCCTTAGGTCAACGCCCCGACTGTTATGGGCCAACCTTCCACCACCACTAAAATAGGTAGGACGGGGGGAGAGGAGGATGGGGAGTTTCTCCTCCTCCTCTTCTTTCTTCTCTTTCTCCACCTCCTCCTCTTCCTCCTCCTCCTCTTCCTCCTCCTCCTCCTCCTCCTCCTGCTCCTCCTCCTCCTCCTCCCCCCCCCCACCCCCCTCTCCTACCTGTGGTAGTAGTGGTGGAAAACGGGCCCATCAGACAGTTTGCATTGGCGACCCTCCCGGGCAGCCCCACGGCAGCGGCGGGCCTCGACGAGCAGCCCCGGCTCTGGCCTGCCCAGGCCCCCCTCGCGTCGTGAAGGGGTGCTCAGGAGGGGAAGGAGCACACAGACACAATGAATCGTCGATCCCCGGGACATGTGGGAAAATATGGGATGTGGGGGAAGACGAAAGCCCAGATCATGTGATGGAATGTGCGGAATCCTGAGATTTGTGTCTATTTAGCTGTGCGTCCTAGGGCCCCTTGAATCACGGACGGAAGGTGTTTCGCCATGTTATTTCGGTCTACGGGGCCTTCAATCTGGTCCCAGGGCAGTCAAACAGCGACACAAGATGAGCGAGTGCCCAGGAAGAGGTCCAGATCCTTAGGGTCTACATTCTGTGCAACACAGTCACGGCGTGGGCCCTCACGGGTCTGGACCTCTTCCCAGGGACCAGCATTTCATCTCGAGCTGTTGGCTGACCGTCCCGCGGCCCTGTAAGGGCCCCCGGAGGCCAACGATAGCAACAGAACGCATTTTGCGGCATTCGTTTCGCAACGCGAGGGGGTCTGGGGAGGTCAGGAGGAGGGGGGGAGAGGAGGAGGAGGAGGAGGAGGAGGAGGAGGAGGAGGAGGAGGAGGAGGAGGAGGACGAGGAGGGAGGAGAAAGAGGAGGAGGAGGAGGAGGAGGAGGTGGAGGAGGAGGAGGAGGAGGAGGAGGAGGAGAGGGAAGGAGGAGGAGGAGAGGGAAGGACGAGGAGGAGGAGCTCGGGGGGGTCTGCAGAGGTCGCCGAGGGTAGCCTCCAAAGGGGGGCTGTGCGTGCGCGCCCGGGAGCCTTGTCGGCGGAGGTTGACCTGCACATGGCCCTGGCCTGGGTCCGCGAGTTGGCGCCGATGATCGTCCACGTCAACCTGGAGATCAGGGGGGGAAATCGGGGGTGGACAGAACCCCCACCCTGACACGTCGATTAGTGAATTGTCCGTTTTGGTTCTCGAGAGGGCGCCGCCTCCGTTATTTTCCAGGCCTGCGCCCGCCAGGTTTGGGCCCGAGGGCGTTTTCACTAAACCACGTTTTGCTAAAGGGGGTTCTGTCCATCCCCGAGGAAAGTACCCATTGGTCGCCGGAAGTAGGAGACTGTTGCTTGTAGGGACGGGCGATAGCCCGGGTTCTCGGGCTTGCCCCCCCCTCCCCCCCCCCCCCCCAGGATATCCTAACCTTGCCGGTTGTGCAGGTCCGGGGTGGGGGGGGGGCGCGGGCATACGCAGGGCTGCCCACCGCGCGAAGGTCAGGTTATCGGCCGGCCCCCTCCTCCCCCCCTTCCCCCCGGGATGACCCAGGTTACAGTCGGCCCGGATTAGTAGGTCCACCCTGCCAGCTTAAGGGTGCCTTCGGGTCCTGTGCCCCGCGACACGTGCCATCTTACCCTCCTGTGGCGATGCGGCCCTCGGAAGGGTCTTGTGTCCTCTCGCGTGTCCTGTCCACTCAAGGCCGCCTGCATCGCCGATTCCAACAGAGAAACGGTCTCTAGGCAAGTGCGGGGAAGCCCCGGTCGCTGTCCAGTGACTTCCTGGGCGCCCTCTTGCTCCCAGGGTCGAGCGGCTCTGCCCCCTCCTTCCTCTGCAGGGTGGCGGGCGTGGGCACAGTCTGCTAACAGCGCCTTCCCGCTTTTTGAGTCGGGCACGTCCCTCTTACAGGAGGAATGGTCCAACATAGCCAAACCATAGTCTGGGGACGATTTTTTGAGCAGTTGTCGAATATGATTGGAGTCTTTTTTGACTATTTTTAACTCTTCGTCCAAACCCCCCTGTAGGGGGACACGCCCGACCTAATCTTACTTCATGCTTCCACACGCTCCCCGACTGGCGTGTGCCGGTGCCGCTGCAAGGATCGGCTCGGGGATAGCTAAGGTTAAGTCGGGCATGCCCCCTTGCAGGAGGAATATTCAAAAACAGTACATAAATAGTCTGGGGACGATGCTTCTTTCTATTATTTCTGAATGTTCCTGAGTATGTTTGCCTATTTGTTGGTTCTTCCCAAATCCGCCTGTAGGGGGACATGCCCGACCTAAGGCTAAGTTTAAGTCGGGCATGTCCTTCTATAGGAGGAATCTTTCAAACTAGCCACAACACAATATGGGGACGTTTTTTATATAGTTTTTTTGGACCATTTGGGGGTATTGCTTGACTTGTTTTAGTTATCGTCCAACATCCTCCTCTACAGTCGGCCCGAATTAGTAGGTCCACCCTGCCAGCTCAAGGGTGCCTTCGGGTCCTGTGCCCCGCGACACGTGCCATCTTACCCTCCTGTGGCGATGTGGCCCTCGGAAGGGTCTTGTGTCCTCTCGCGTGTCCTGTCCAATCCAGGCCGACTGCATCGCCGATTCCAACGGAAAGACGGTCTCTAGGCAAGTGTGGGGAAGCCCAGGTCGCGGTCCAGTGACTTCCTGGGCGCCCTCTTGCTCCCAGCAGGGTCGAGCGGCTCTGCCCCCTCCTTCCTCTGCAGGGGGGGGGGCGGGCGTGGGCCCAGTCTGCTCTCAGCGCCTTCCCGCTTTTTGAGTCGGGCACGTCCCTCTTGCAGGAGGAATGGTCCCAAATAGCCAAGACATAGTCTGGGGACGACTATTTTTGGATCTTTTTTGACTATTTTTGAATATGATGTTTCGAGCAGTTGTCGAACACGATTGGAGTTTTTTTTCGACTATTTTTGAAGATGCCCAGGCAAGTCCGACTGCAGGAGCACGGGCCCGACGGAAGGCGCAGGGCGTCGGCCTCCGTGGAGCGAGGCGGCCGGCAGGGCCCGCGGGGCCCGGCGGGCCTCCGGCCTCGCGCCTCGCCGTCCAGCTGCCGCGCCTCGCGGAGAGCGTTCCGGGGGGTCGTCCTTCAGTCGGGCCGGGCGAAGGGGGGGGATTGGGAAAGGGGGGGTTACGAAATTTGCTGCATGCAGCTGGTTTCGGCCCCACCGAGGGGGCCCACTCCTCGACACATAGCCGCCTCCGGCGCCGGGAGGCGCCGGGAAAATCAGCTACGTGAGCCGATTCTCAACCCCCCCCTTTGCTATCCCCCCTTTTCGCCCGACCCGATTCAGTCGGAAGCTGGCTCATAGACATTAACGATCCTCGATCCTCGATCCTCGATCCTCGGCTTTCGGTCCTCTTGACATCATCTCTTTCTCCTCCCACGTGCCGGCCTCCGGCAGGCAACGTTTACAATCCCCTCGCGACCCCGAACTTTGTTATCCCTGTGGGATTAATCTACGTGGTGTTCGGTTGCCAGTGGCGGGCTTTGTTTAAATCCCACGACTTTTTGAGGGTCGGGGACGACGTCGGGGTGGTGTGGTGCATACTCCTCCCCAGTGTTCCAGGGGAAACAGCGACAAGTGTACACACCAGGATCCCGTATACACCAGGATCCGCGTTCCTGTGCGAATTTCAGCGCAGGGCCGGAAAAAGCGTCGGTGTATGGAGCTCGTTTCCCTACTTACGTCGGGCCTGTCACTCCACCGGGGAGATATCCAGAAGTAATAAAAAATAGTCTGGGGACGATCCTTGAGCAGTTTTGGACCATTTTGGGGTATCTTTTGGGCTATTTTTGATTCTTCGTCCAAAATCCCCCTGTAGGGGGACAGGCCCGACTTGAGGATACTGGGATCGGCGCGGGCGTTGTTAGGGGAGGAAACAGTTACATAAACATAACATCTCGGAGGTCCGCGCGGGTTTCTCGGATCGGTGTTGGGCCCCCTTCCCTGGCGCGCGGAGCGCGCCAGGGGCGGCGCCAGGGGCGCCGCAAGGGGGATGCCAGCGCCGATCCGAGAAATCCGCGCGGACCTCAGAGTTTCTATATTTATGTCAGCACACGAGTGGGTCACCACTGGCCCAAGTGGCCAGGGGGGTGGATAACTCCGCTAAGGCCCACAAAGCCAACATTGTGAACCCTCCTAAGCCAGATGGGGCATTTGTAATTCACTTATGGGCTAGGTTAGGTCAGATAGCATCCTCTTCGGCATCCACTGATGACCCTCCTATCCCCTTAACAGCACCCCCCACGCCGATCCTAGTACCTTTCCCTTGCTTTCGCCTTCTTGGGCCTCCTGGCAGGCTCTCGCAACGGCTGCACTCACCTCGAACGTCTGGACAGAACGCACCCATGGGAGAGGCCAGGGGACTAGCTGCATCGGTATCTCTTGCTTTACCCAGGAGAAGCTCGGCGAGTTCCTCCTCAAGGACTCGCACTACCGGAACCAGTTCGAGACGAACAGTTCCGGCGGCCTGCTGAAGCCGGCGGCGCGCGTCAAGTGGGAGCGGGGCCTCTTCGGCACGGCCTACAACGAGGAGACCCCTGGCAGCGAGCGCCCGAAGTACGGCGTGCAGAACAGCTTCGGAGGGGGGCCTGTCGGGAAAGCGGAGGCGGCAGCTGTCCGTATATGGGTCTCCCGTAATTCCGAATTATGAGAAACCCATCTCAGGAGGGAACGGAACACACAGACACAATTAATCGTCGACTCCCAGGAAAGTGTGGGAATACATGGGATGTGGGGGGAAGACGAAAACCCAGAAATCATTGGAAAAAGACGGAGGCCCAGAAACTATTGGAAAATATGGGGAATCTTGTTGTTTATGTGTATATTATTTGTGTGTCCCAAGGTTCCTTCAATTATGGGAAACCCATCGGCCGCCAGATTCCCTAGGGGTTTCTGGCCGCCGACGGGTTTCCCATAGTTCGCAGGCCTTGCGGAGGCCCTCCCCGCAGCGTGTTTCGTTTTTTTTGTTGCTGCTGGGCCTCCTGGGGGGCTCCTCGCCGCCTCGGCTGGCTCCGCCTTGAAGCTCTGGGCCTAAGTCGGGCACATCCCTCTACAGGAGGAACATTCAAACATAGTCAAACAATCGTCAGGGGACGACTTTTTGAGTATTAGTCGAATATTTTTGGAATACTTTTAGACTAGTTTTTATTTTTCGCCCAGGCTCCTCCTGTAGGGGGACAGGCCCGACCTAATCTAGGCCTCCCAGATGGGGCCGGAGCAGATGGGGTCGGAGGATCGCGCTGCATCGCCGATGCATCGGCGCTGCGTCTCGATGCGGCGCCCGATCTGCTTCACGTCGGCGTCGCCGATGCATCGCCGACGTCAGCAGTGCATCGCCGTTGCATCGCCGATGCATCGACGATGCACCGCCGATGTATTGGCGATGCGGCGCTGTCCTCCGACCCCGTCTACTCGGACCCCCTCTGGGAGTCCTCTAAGAACAGCAGGTCCGAACGGATCCCTGGAGGGGCCTGGGGCTTTCTTCTTGAGCAGCGCAGGGCCGGGACGGCCGAAGCATCAATTATTCGGCTAGGCGTGAGGGGGACCCTTCGCCAGAGTGACCTTTGGTGCGGGCACAGCTGGGTCCCCAGGTGGCCGAGAGCGAAGCAGCGGCAGCTGCTTGCGCGCCCAGGGTTGGTCCCCCCGCGGCCCCCCCAAAAGCCGCGCACCAAAGGTCACTCTTGCCCGGGGTCACTCTTGTGTATAGCCTTAAGTCGGGCCTGTCCCCCTACAGGGGGATTTTTGACGAAAAATAAAGAATACCCCCCAAAATAGTCAAAACATAGTCCAACAATAGTCTGGGGCCTAATTTTTGACCCTTTTTGGGGGCATTTTTTTTTTCTGTTTCTCTCATTTTCGTCGAACATCCCCCTGTAGGGGGACGCGCCCGACTTGTGTATAGCCGGCAATGCTCGGAGGTCCTCGCGGGCTTCCCAGGGGCCGCGCTGCACCCCCCTCCCCCCCGCTTGCGCCCTCCGCGTGCCCGGGGAGGGGTGCCCGTCGCCGCTCCGAGGGGGAGTCCGCGCGGAGCGTCGAACGGCTGTGGTTTGTGGAGGTCGGTCAATGGAGAGGAAGCGTGTTGGCAAACAGTCACCACCCACCAAACCACCCCAACCCAACCCGAAGGCTCAGATTTACCCTCGATTTCTAGTGGGGGGGGGGTCGGGAAACATCGAAAAACACATGTGGAAGCCTTGCCCCCCCAACCCGAAATTCGGGTCTTCGGGTTGGGTTGGGGTGGTCTGGTAGGTAGTCAGTCTAGGACATGTGTCAAACCTGTTCAGAAGATGCAAAACACATACTTTACAACTTTGCATGACATTTCCCGGCATGTTGAACACATGGCTAATTCGATGCTAGGGCTGTTGGGGTGTCCATTGTCGTGGTATCCACAAAGCTATGTTGCCAGACATCCGATGTCTTCAAGATGCGCAGATGTAGAGCAAGGGCACCAGTTCCAGCAGCTTCCGTCCCCTTATGAGGCACTTGGAGCGTCAGCTGCACGACCTCCGTGCAGATTCAGAGAACCCCGATGGACCATCACTTGTATGGTACCAGTCAGGGCTCTGACATGGATTCACCGAGAATAACAGAGCACTGAACCTAACAACACAGTGAAGACGTAACCTCACTGAGATCCCCGTCGTTGCATCAGGGATACTTGTTCTGGGCGGTTTGGTTTGATACACCTGCAGAAAAGAGCCCCTATCCCTAATGTGTGTTGGCCCTCCTAGCTTTTGTCCCCTCCCAAAGGGTTAGGGGTCTTGTTTTGGTTAGTCATTGGTCCACTCATGGGAAGGTCGGCAGGCGGTTGCTGTGAATCAACTTGGGGAAACGCCGCCGTTGTCTCAACTGACCCTCCTCCGACGTCTGGAACGACTACCGCGGCGTTATCGGCTGCAAACAGTACGGCGACAGCTACCTCGTCCTTAAGGACGTGCGTCTGAGGTGCACCATGTCGCCGGAGGACTCCGCCAACCTGCCAGCGAAGCGTCTGGCCGTCCCAGATTACTACGCGCACGTTCTGATGGAGTACAGCGACAAGGACCAGAGGGGGAAAAACGTACCGATATCGCTACTGTAGGGGGCCACATGCGAACCCTACCCCTACCCCCCACGATTTCTGAGGGGGAGGGTGGGGTAGGATTCGCATGTGGCCTCCTATACAGGGATTGGCTCGGGGGTTGCTAGGGGGATACGGCAGGCTCGTGTCGTGTCGGCCGGCTGCGACCTCGCTGGCGGCGTTCAGCTTTGAACGCCACTGGCGACCCAGAATCGTTCGATGTGGTTCAAGGTCGACCCAGAATCGGTCGATCGTTCAGCCTTGAACAATCGACCCAGAATCGTTCTGAACGATCGACCCAGAATCGGTCGATCGTTCAGCCTTGAACGATCGACCGGAAACGGCCGATCGTTCAAGGCTGAACGATCCCCGCGGTGTCAGAAACCAACGCCGAAGTCGGCACGAGACGAACCAGGCGCAGGGAGTTATCAGTGGATGCCAAAGTGGGCGATTTCTGACCTGACCTAGCCTATACATGAGTTGGACATGCCCCAAGCGGCTTAGGGCGATTAACGACCCGGGCTGTGTGGGCGCCGCCCACGTTGCGTTATTATCGAACCCCTGTAAGCCAATTTGGGGCCCTTGCATACATCGCTGACCCAGGTCAGGCTAGGTAGGACCAACCTTGGCATCCACTGATAGCCCCTCTGTCCCCTTAGCAACCCCGCGCCGATCCCAGTGCCCTTCCCTTGTTCTCGCCTCTGGTTACCAGCCTCGAACGTATCCCTATCCCTAAGATTGACACGCCAAAAGGCGATGACAACCTTAGGGATTCGCCCTCAAAAAATAAGGGAATCCCAAAGATTGGCATCGTGATGAGGAGATGCCCAGCGTAGGCATAGGGATATGTTCCAGGCTGGTAATCTGGGGCCTCTCCGGAGTCTTCCGTCGCCACCGCAGGAGGAGGAGGAGGAGGAGGAGGATGAGGAGGAGGAGGAGATGGAGGAGGAGGAGGAGGCGGAGGAGGAGGAGGAGGAGGAGGAGGTGGCGGCATCGGTACCCTTCGGCTCCCCCGCAGGAGCTGAAGGAGACTCTGCGCGTGGCCAAGGGCGGCGACGAGAAGCTAGGCTGATGGGCCTGTATTCCACCACCGTCACCATAAGTTGGAGGGGGAGGGGCTCCTCCTCCTCCTCCTCCTTTTCCTCCTTTTCCTCCTCCTCCTCCTCCTCCTCCTTACCCCCTCCAACTTGTGGTGGTGGCGGTGGAAAACAGTCCCATCATAGGCGATTCCATGGCCGTGATCGAGCAGTGGGGGAAGTACAAGGAGGTGCAGATCCACGGCGAGGTGAGCCTGGACAGGCACGTGGAACGGCTGGTGGTCCCCGACAGGCTGAAGGAGAAGCAGGCCTGGGTACAGAAGATTGCGAAGGCGCACAAGTGGAAGCTGACCTGGATGAAGGACATGCAGGAGAGCGTTTTTTTTGTCTTCTCCTGTGGCGGGTAACGCTTGCTACCGGGACACAACCCCTCCCACCCCACCCCCCCCGGGTAACGCTAACGATCGTACGTTTTCGGGGTGCAGGGCAGACCCCCCTCCTCTCAGCAGGTATGGCAATTGATGTGCCGATGGTGCGGACGCACCCTGGCGGGCGCACGCCGCGGCCGCCGTTACCGCTACCCGCCAGCCCACCCCCCCCGGTAACAGCCGTTACCCAAAATAATAAAAAAAGAGTCTCCAGGCGGAGCTCAAGTCGAGGGCTGGCGGTCGGGAGATGGACCAGAAAACCTGGCAGGGCAAGCTGGATTGCCTGAGGAAGGAGGAGGAGACGACCAGGCTGGCGACTCGATTCGTCAAGGCGCGCGAGATTTTGGTCAGATGGTCTTTCCAGGTTCAGTCAGGCTGGCAGCCCTTCGACCGACATTGCCAGGAACCCCTGGAGGCCATGTTCAAAGAATACAAGGCCTCTCCGTCGGAGAAGACGGCGATCAGGGAGCTGAAGGTCAGGAACGGGATCGTCATGATAGACTTCGAGCAGATGACGCAGAAGGTGAAGGGCTACAGCCGAACTCGAAAGCTCCAGAGAGTCGACCTGTGACCCGCCTCCCTTTGTGCTCGCGCACTGCGAGGTCATGCGCGTCGTTGCCCCTTGCCTGCCCCGTACGGTCTCACCTCTGGTGCCGCCGCCAGCATCGGGGACAACGTCAGGGGGGGGGGATAGGCTCAGGAGGGGATCGACCCCCCGTCGCCCACCGATCGCCGATGGGGGCCCGACTGCGCACCCCGCCCAGGAGCGTGCGGTCTTGCGCTGCCGGGGGCCGCTGTCGGGGGCCCACCGCCGAGCGGCGGCGCTTCGCCGCTGGCAGGTTCAATGTTCCCCCCCCCCGCCCCCCCCCGGTGTGGGCAGGGCCGAGGTGTTGGGCTCGACAAGGTCTTCTGCTGATTTCGGTTGTGAGGGGGCCGTTTTCGGGCTTGGGAGCGGAGGAGGAGGAGGCGGAGGAGGAGGAGCAAGGAGGAAGGAGGAGGAGGAGGAGGAGGAGGAGGAGGAGGAGGAGGAACCATGGCTGGATCCCGCCGGTCTTCGGGTCACCACGCGGGCCTCCCGCGGCCGCTCGGGACGAGCCGGGCGCACGCCCCGGGCGGCGCACCCGGCGAGGCGCGGCCGCTGGGGGGGGGCATGCCGAGGCTGGAAGGCCACCGACGACGGCGCCCACGAAGCTCGAGCCTCGAGCCTCGAGGCTTCGCCCCGCCTCGGAGCTTCGTTGCCCCTCCCTCCCCTCCTTCGTCCTCTTCCTCGTCCTCCTCCTCCTCCTCCACTTCCTCCTCCTCCTCCTCCTCCCCCTCCCCTTCCTCCTCCTCCTCCTCCTCCTCCTCCTCCTCCTTCCCCTCCTAAGCGTCGGTTCTGCAGGGCTGACCACACTCTCCTACACCACCGTACACTAATTTAGCCCACGCTGCTACCTCTTCGGCGATCGTTCAGTCGAGGCAGCGTGTCTCTCTGGGTCTTTCACTTGCATGAGTTGAGGGCCCACAGGGACAAGTGCAGCCTCGGCCATCCGCATAATGACTACGGCGCTGGAGAGGGTCAAGCACACATTGAGTATCCTGCAATTCACTCCCATGTACGCCAGTACCTCTGACATATTGCAGGACATCGCCGACTTATCGCAGAACGTTGATTTTACTTGTCTCAATTCAACAGGTGTGCAGCGTTACGGACCAGCTGGTGTGGCTACATGGCGTCGAGTGGGCACTCGATGGTGCTTGGATGCTGGCTGGTTCAGATCCCCGCATAACAATATGTCTTGTGGCTGTTCTATTCTCCTCGGGCCGCACATCAAGCGCAACACGGTGGTACAAACATTTGTGTGCCCAATTCCTGGCCAAGGTGTTGCTCTGCGTGCACGCTGTAAGCATTATGCGGTGGTTGTGGTTTCAATTTACTTTCCACCAGTTCCCGCGAAGGCTTGTCATTTCAAGGCTTATTATCAGACGTGTGACTCTCTAATGAAATGGTTGCGGTCACTGCCTTTCTGGAGCGTGCATCGAGTTTTCCCAATCATCTGCGCCGACCTTAAGTCGGGCTCTGGGCTCACGCGATTAGAAGGTTCGGAACTTTGGCGACCCATAGAGAGCACAGCGGTTGGACCTCACCACGACAAAGTACGACAGAGATATTCAGCAGAGGTCCTCCTCCCGTTCCTGGACATGCTCGACATGGCGATGCTCAACACCTACCGTGGATATGGCGCTACATACTTCAACAACAAATGGCAAGGCAGTCAGCTGGACTACATCATCGTCCCGAGGTGTTCGTTATCTCAGACTCTCACGGCTGGGCCGCTACGACGTATGGGCGGATCATTACAGGCCATAGCGGCTCACACGCCTCGAGACCACATCCCAGTTCACGCTCGGCTTGCATATTCGTTTACGGACACACTTGGATTACCGACGGCAGTTTCTGACCATCCACAGCTGGGCTTTGTGCAGACTGTACACCGCTGGAACAGAGATGCCCTTATGGACGGACTACGCCGAGGTACCCACAGAGTGGAATTCCGTCAAAAGGTCGAACAAAGGATTTCTGACGAAATGGATGACTGGAAGCAGTCTCAAAGGGAGGAACAGACACCCAACAGATATTGGTCCTACTTGCTTCAGGTCATCGGCGAGGCAGTGGCTCCGTATTTCACGACTCCACCTTCGCCATCATCGGAGTACATGCAGCGAACATCCCACGTCACCAGTCTCATGCAGCAACGGCGTCAACTTCGTAAGGCACTAGGCGCAGCTACTCATATCAACGAGATTGCCAGTATTACAGAAGAGCTTCGGGCGCTCAGCAAGGACCTAGGACGCCTTCGCCGACGGTGCCTCGCACTGTGGCGCCAGGACATCACCGACGAGCTGGTGGCGGCCCACCAGCAGGACCGCAAGGCCGAGGTTGCTCGCTTGTCCCGCCCGCTGTCGGCCAGGGGCACAGGCCCCAAGAAGCGCAATTACACACGAGCTGCTGCTGCTGTTCCCTGCTCCGCAGACCTCAAGGCTCGGCTTCAGCTGCCCTCCAGCCAGGGGGGCTTGGAGGCCACCATCGTCGACTGGTTTCAGGAGACTGGGGATTTTTGTACCATCCTGAGTTTGGGCTGGAGACAACAGTTCATGTTCCCCTTCGCGAAGGGCGGCCTCCAGTGGGCCACGGAGAAGCTCCAGTTGATATCCAGATATTTTCGGAAGGCCAGTAAACGAAGAGCAGTTCCCCCGTGGTCGCTCCCTCTAGAGCTCTTCTGGATGCTCCTGCGCCCCCGCAGAAGGATCTCCAAGAGGTTTCGAGGGCCAGGCTACGAGGCCCCTACGGTCGACCAGTGGTGGACCAGCTACTACTTAAAGGTATTTCTACATCGAGTTTATCGGTCAGGGCAAACGCCGGTATTTTGGCACTTATCCCAGGGCATCGCCATCAATTTTATGCGGCTCGTGCACGTGTTGTGCCCGTTTGGCAAGGCCTTCATCGCCGCAGGCCTCCGACCCGATCAGCGTGATCGGGGGCCTCTCTTTGCTC